AGGAAACTCTTCTTGGCGCGAATCACCACCGGCGCGCAGCGCCGGTGGTGATTCCAGAACTATACTCTTTGGTTCGCCCGTCGTGCCACTAGAGAAGAAGATCTGAACGGGATGCTGAGCGGGGAGCTGCTCGAACCGGTGTGCGGGCGAGTCGGAGAGCTGCAGGCCGGTCTGCGTAATGAAGGTGTCCATCTCGACGCCCTTGACTTTGGCCGAGGTCCACACGGGGCTTGCGTTGGGCAGACGACGATTGCGGATGATGACGACCTGGAACGTGAGCGGCGAGTCGAGCTTGTCGTCCTCCTGGAGCCGTTCAGCGACGCTTGCGACGCGGTCGAGGATGTCGACCTGCTTGCTGTTGTACAGCACGGCATCGTCGGTGAAGAGCAGCTTGGGGCGTATCTGTGCGAGTCTGCCATAGATCGCCTGCGGACCTGCATCGGTTGCGATGAGCGAGTAGATCGCACCGACGCTGTTGGACGCCAGTGTGGCGACGATGGGCGAGGCGGTGTTGGCCGAGACGTGTGCAAGGCGATCGCCCTTCTTGACTCCGATCCTGCGGAACGTCTCTGCGAGCAGCGCCACCCTCCTCCTGAGCTCTCCCCAGGACACGTTGACCTCCTGAGCGTTGGGGCTCGAGTCGGCCAGACCGCCTCCCTCGGGCACCTCGATGAGCGCAGTGGCGTTGGCGTGCGGCCAGTGGTACGGCGCCTTGGGCGAGCAAAACGTCGTGTTGGACGGGTGGAGCGGGAAGAGCAGGTTCTGCGCCATGGAGAAGCGCGCACCGGGGAACCACTCGGGCAGATCGCCCGGCAGCGCATCCGGATCCGAGAGCACCTTGTCGAAGCGCACCGAGGCGCGGATGCCCGCATAGTCCCACACGGCCGCCCAGAAGTCGCTCATGCGGTTGATGGAGAAGTCGTGCAGCTCGTGGTACGTGGTGAGGTTGAGGTTGTGACGTGCGTTGACCATTCGGCGGAACTTGTCGATCGCCGAGCCCTGGATGTCGTCGGCCGTCGCCTGCCACACGAGCGGCTGCGAGGGCGCAGGCGTGATGGGAGCTGCCATGGTGTATGTGTAGCGAGCCGTGCAAAGCGAAGTCCAGCAACGAGGATTGTGCGCCGTGCGATACAATGTCCAGAAACGAGGAATCGAGAGCGCAGAATATGGTATATATGAAGGAAGGAGGAGGACGAGGAGGAGGAGGAGGAGGAGGAGGA